ACTATCCAAAAGTTTATTTATTACTACTTTATTTTTATTAAAATAATAATTTAAAAAGAAGATACAAGAACTTTAACTTAAAAATCGATTTCATTTGCTTGAAAACAATAGTAATTAAATAAGTACTTATTTGAAAATATTGGAGAGGAGCTTAGCCTCTTAAATCCCTCATGGGCCATCCAGAAAGTACGATCCTGGTATTGTTGCAGTGGGGTTTTATCTGGACTGGAACTCATGACGTTTTTTTAGTTCTGTTAAGCATAACTAACTTGTTTAAACGTACGGGGAAGGGCTAGCTCCCTCCAGAAATTAGGGCCCTGGTATTGTTGTATAGTGGGGTTTTATCTGGACCCTCATGTTTTTAAAAATACTGGAGAAGGTGGCCTAGCTCCCAAAGCCCTCACTTCTGCAAGTACGGCCCTGGTATTGTTGTAGTGGGGTTTTATCTGGACCCCACGATTTTCCAGTTATTTAAAAATATAGGCAAGGGCAAGGGTGAGGCTTAGCCTCCAAATCCCCACAATCAATTTTCAATCCATCTTTATTTCATAGTTACCGAATTTTCCTAAATTCGTCCCCAATATACACACCTTGGGATGTCTCTTGCCCGCAACAGTGCACTATTCTGTCTTTTTACAGTTCATGGATAATTTAATGTTTACAGTTGAATTTTTTTCCACAAATTATTTGTGACAAATAGGTTTAACAACTCCCCCCCCCCCAAAAGTGGAACCCACTAAAACGGAAGAAATTACAAAGTTTCGATTAAGCACGTTACTTAGAACGATTTTAAATTCGATACTTTTAATTTAAAAGAAAACGTTGTTGGCCTTAAGTGAGAGATGGTTAGAAATGCAATGTTGATTATTTACACGGCAAATTTGTTTAAAAAAATAATGCACTGATTATTGTTAATTTGCATCACGTGGCAGTGAACAATTCAATTGTTTGTAACTTACAAATTGTAAGTTAAATAAAAATAAAATGATCCACTAAGTAACTAAAAATCGTTAAGTTTTCTGAATATTAATGTAAGTAAAAAAAAAAATAAATTTTCTTTGCGGGTGGATACAACCGATTATCATTTTTTTTTCTTAGAAAGAAAAAAGTTCCAATTTTATTTTTTTTTAAAGGGGTACATTACTTAGAAGTGGATAGTTAACTTGGTAAAATAATTTCACTAGTAGACCCTTCACCTAAGACACTAAGCAATGTATTTAGGGCCTAGGCAAAACAACAACAACAACAAAAAATGAAATGGATTAGAGACAAAAAAGCATTTCACTTTGAGTAGTCAATGAAGAAAATTTTTCTTTTATTAATAAATTTGACTGCTTCCTCACCATACTCCCTGCCCGAGGATCAAAGAAAACGACTTGTATCTGTTAGTTTTTTTTTTCCAGATTTTTAAATTTTAACTCTTCTGAAATATTTTGCAAAAGCAAAAAAAACGTAACAAATTACGCATCACTTATTTCGATAAATGCATTACTTTGCTACTTACGTAAATGTAAAAAAAGTTATATAATTGGCATAAGTGACAGATAGCTATAAAAAGACACTGTTAATTATTTTTCGGATAATTTATATATAATTCTCTAGCTAATTGTTTGTGTTGTGTGGCAACAGTAAAAATGAAACACTAAAGTAAGTAACCACGTAATCGTTTTAAATTAAAAACTGTTCATTTTTTATTTATTGGCACCGGTACGTGTTCAGAAATTAATTTAAAACTTTTAATTTATCTGAACACCGATGCCAATAAAATGAACAGTTTTTAATTTTTTTTATTAATAATTTAGTACTTATCGCAAAGATAAAAATAATTTACTTATCGCAATTAATTCACCCCAAGAGATTACAAATTTTAAATCAAAGTTTTTTTTTTCATTTATTTATTAAATTTTTGGCATTCTTGAAATTAAAACAAATTTTAAATCAAAATTTGTTTAGTTTGTTTGCCTCACAACAACTGCAACCCTCAGAATGAAAATTGAAAAATTACCAAAAATCAGGAAATTATTCACATTTCGTAAGTGCGGATGATATTCGAGGTACTTACAAGGATTTTTTTTTTTTTTTTTTACAATTAAAAAAAAAATAAAAATTCACTTGCTTATCGGGGTGAGCGCGAATGCTGACCCCCACACTTAGAAATAGCACACCCGAGTCGCCGACATTTGGGGTGATCGCAAAGGTCAACCCAACTGGAGTGCAATGGAAAGGCCTCGCTCTGTGAGAATTTGGTGTGAATTTTAATAAATAAATTCTTTTTATTTTAGGGTGAATTAACAGAAAAAAAAAAAAATTAAAATTAAATTATTTTTTCTTATCCTCTAGCAGTATCAAAGTGAACAAAAATACTAAATTATTTTTACAATAATTGTAGGTTACTCGTTTTTGAGTACACCTGTCTGGGGTGTGGTTGGGCTAGCTAATCCCTGTTGCAGACGACCACTCAGGTATATTTGTGTTTTTAACACCAAGAGAGCCGACCTGTAGTTTATAATGCCACAATTCTGAGCAAAATTTAGTTACAGTTTGAACAAGGCTAGTATGCTCAAACCCTCAGTCACGATAACTTGTGACTTTGTGCTAGCATATATACTGATGGCTTTTTAATAAATTTTGCTCACAAGGCTGTGGTATGGATTTCAGATGCTTTTCAACTAGGCCAATAACATTAGAAAGTCACCTTGACAAATCTACTATGGTGAAATCTCATGATCAAAAAGTGAATGTTTTAACTACTTGGCCACCAATGTTTCAGTATGACTTATGACCAGAGAAACAGTTAAATTAATCTAAGGATTTGCAAGGAACTCCCCGATTTTTTGAACAGGGGTAGAGACTTATCTCTTGTTCCCTGTTTCGGATTGCATTTCCGGTTGCTTCTAAAGTCTTTTCATGCTCTTTCAGTCCCAGTAGCCCCTTTTGTCTTAGTGGCATTATCACCTTGCATGGTGTGAACTGATTTAAAAAAAAAAAAAAAAAAAAAAAAAATGAAGCAAAAGCATGAAATTGTAATAATTTTTAAAAAGTATTTAGCATTATTATTTTTAGAGCAGATGTGCTGTTAGTGTAATGGTTATCAGTATGAGAAGAGAAATCACAGATTAAATAAAGGGGTCAGTTTAAAATTCCCTGAAGCTTACCCAGATTGACAAACACCTGAAGAAGGCCAGAGGGCACAATGGTTGAAACATTATGATAACAGCAAAGATGAGAACATTAGTTGGAAAGTAAATAAGAATATTGTTAATGCACAACATACACACGCTTTTTTAACCTTTTTATTTCATGCATGATTTTATATTCATCATATTTAACGTTGAACACTTTCAATGTTCTGGTTCTACTTATGTCTTTTTCAAATTGTACATGTCACTTCTGTTATGTATTTTTGATAAAATCCAAGGAAAAAACTGCAATGATATTGGTCCTGTCCTGACTTTGTATTTCACCATCAGCTATTTTCTCATCACCATAATGTAGCTTCCCTGTGCCTTTTCTAGAAATACTTTCATGGTAATTGTGCTAATGAACTTTCCTCTTTGGTATTTTGACTTTATGAATTTAAACACAGTAATAGATTGGCAGCAAGGTCTCATCATTTTACATTTGAAATGGTTAGATGTAACCCTAAGTTCTATGCTAACAATTTCTTTTCTCACACTACTTGCTTGTGGAACTCTCTTTTGGTTTCTTGCTTTCCAGGCAACTTTGATCTTCAAAAATTTCAATGCAGCAACAATCGTTATTTTCTGTCTTCTTAATACCTGTTCTTTCATTGTCCTCTCTCTCTCTAATGTTTTTCTTTTTCTCATATTCTTTCACACTCAGTAACCCTTGGCTCTATTGCCTTGCTTGAGGGTGAAATGATTAAAAAAAGTAAAAAATAAAACATGACCTGCTCTGAAGTATATCAACCTTTTTCAAGACACCATGACATGTTGGTTTCTCGTTGTTTGTATTATAAACTAACTAGCATGTTTTACTCCAAAACCAATGTAAACATATATTATTGTACAATATGACCTGATTTGTCACATTTTTATTATATTGTTTATGGTGGGGGGCATTATAGTTTCCAACTATCATGCAAATTGCTGGATTGTTCTGCATTTTGTTGTTGAAGCAGGTGTCTCACATTAATTGATGTGGGACACATTTTTGTCCTGAATTTTGAGAATTAATGATTTGTTTTTAAGAATTATACATAAATTTTGCTTCTTTTTTTTTTTTTTAATGTACTTACTAAATATGAACACACTTCTGTTTCACTCTAAAAATTCTAATTTTGCACTGCCTGTTTAAAATTCTTCAGTGATAATTCATGCTGCTCAAAAATAGCAAACTGATATAATTCAGTTTTGTAGTTTTGTGGACCCTCTGCTTTGTAATTTGTATCCAAAGGGACTCCACAAACACTATGGTTGGGGATCTGTTCATTAGAGAAACCACAAACCCCAGAACCTGTACACAGTGTTCACAGCTCCCTGGTTGGGGAATGGCTCTCCTGTCCAAAATTTTAATTTTAGAGAGTTGGCAACCCTACGTGTCGTTTAAATCAAAATGGTAGCACCACTGAGTGTCAGTATCTTTATAGTCATTTATTTATAACAATGTCCTATTCCCCACCCCAAAACAGGCTAGCACAGTCAGGTAACAATGCTACAAGAATGCAGTAATGAAATAATTAAATAGAATGAAAATATATGTTCATCAGTTGAGGTAAAATTAGAAAAATTCACTGAAAATATGCATCAGTTTATCTCAATCTTTATTCTTAACAGTAAGCCAACAGAAGAATATTATGAGGTCATCAGCTTTGTGGGTCTGTGGAACCTCTCGTTGGAAACATGTTCATAACTCTGCCTATGGATCCCATGGTTGCAAACCTGTCCATAGGTGCTGTGGCTCCTTGGTTAGCAAACCCAACCCTACAGATGAAGACATTTGAATGCAAATAGAGTTTAAAAAAATATCTGGGAACTTACAGTTATGGCTATAACTTTGCAATATACTTTTTCATGGATACTGAGCATTTCCGATGGGTCATCAATGCGAGCGTTTGACATCTGTGATTTGTGAACAAGACCTGAAAATGATATTAAAGAAAGAGACATGATTGATTATTTCCCTGTCGAATCAAAACTTCTTTAGAGAATTAAAACAATGATTTTGCCAAAAAATGATGCTTTACTAATACTATTAAAAATTCAACTTAAAATAGTGGATATTTTTCACTCTGAAATTATCAGAAAAATAAAAAATAGTTAGCTCGCCACAACTTCCTATCCTTTGCAGCTCAAAGCAATGTTTGTCCAGTTACTATACCCTGAAATTTCTTTTCTACCATCCATTTGTACAGGCTCACTAAGTAGGTCGATCATGACTTGACACAACTTCCTATTCTTTGTAGCTCTAAGCAATGTTTGTTGCCTTACTATTCCTCCCAGTTCTTGTTCTGCCATCCACTTAGACAGCTTGTTAGGTAGGTTACTCATTGTTTTCTTCTGTCTCTTCAGAACATGGGCAATCATGACTCTTCACAACATCCTATCTTTTGTAGCTCTAAACAAGGTTTGTCCCCTTATTATTCCTCCTAGACAAGCCAGCCATTTACACAACTGTAATGTAGGTTATTCATTGTTTCCCTGTCATTTCAGGAAATATGCAATTAGGGCTCCATAACTTCCTATCCTTTGTAGTTCTAAGCAATATTTGTCACTTTACTATTGCACTAAGTCCCTGTTCTGATATCCATTTACACAGCTTGTTCAGTAGGTTACTTATTTTCTTCTGTTCCTTCAGGACATTGGTGATCATGACTCTCCACAACTTCTCATTTTTTGTAGCTCTAAGCAAGATTTTTCCCCTTACTGTTCCACCTAGCTCCTGTTCTACTATCCATTTACACAAGCTCAGTAAGCAAATTGCTTGAGGTTTCCCTTTGTGCCACAAATCATTGTGACCAAGCATTTGCATATACTGACCTTGTTCAAAAGTACTGGTCATCTCAGATTATGCACTCTGTTCCAGAAACTGTAAAGTCTACTCAGTATCTTTGCAGTACAAACCAGAGGTTGGCTCCGTGGTAGTTGAAGAACCACAAATGTGCTTGAACAGGTGTCTGCGACAGGGATTAGCTAGCCAACTTATCAAGAAGGCAAACTTTCCCATTCTTACTGCTTGATACTGACACTGGATTTTTTTGAGTTGTACACAAGTACATTAAGTCTGATAACGAGAAACAAATGGCAACAGTCTTCTTGATATTCAGACGAAGCCATTCATTGGAGTCTCAAAAATGTCATGTAGGCTTTAGCTATTTGATTTTTATAGTTGGTCATACCAATGGTGAGAAATTATCTAAATGGAGAGGAAAAAAAAATAAAAATAACACTAACACAAGAAGAAACATTTTTGCTGAAAATGCTTCCCCTGTAATCACCTCTTCTTTAACTCAGGACAAAAGCCAATCTAAAAGAAGTACAACTCTGATTTCAAGACCATGAAGAAGGTAATTGGAAACCACTTCATTATTTTTACAAGACCAGATAATAAAAAAAGGAATCTGTGGAGAGCCACAATCACCTACACCTTGAAGAGAGAAAAATTACTCTGGATTCCAAACCATGGAGAAGGCAAAAGGAAACTACTCTACCATCTTTCCCAAGAAGTCATGGCAATTCCCAGATAATAAAGAAAATCTGGGGAGAGTCACAGCTACCTATGTCTTGAAGGGAGAAGAATTACCCTGGATTCCAAACCATGGAGAATGTAACAGGAAACCACTTTACTATCTTTCCTAAGAAGTCTTGGCAATCCACAAATAATAATTATGTTATAATTGACGATGGAAAATGTGGTACAGAAATCCAAAGATCCATTGGCATAGTGAAAGATGCTTTCCAAAAGTTAATAATAAGTAACAAAATTGTTAGAAACAAAGAAAGAAGTACTGAACTGCTATGTAATATAAGTTCTCCTATATTGCAGTGAATACTAGACAATTTCCTCACAGATGGAGAAGAGGTTGGCGTCAACAGAGATGTGATTCAACAAAAAAAAGGATGCTGATAATACCATGGACGGAACATGTGAGTAATGAGAACATTTTAAGAAAAATCTATACTATAAAAGAGCTGATTCTCTGTCCATCACAGTTTGCTTGTGACATTACATGTGTAATATATATGTATTCTGTGGTGTGCTTGAAAGACTTATATGTACTTGTGCTATTTAAATGTATACACAAGCACATTCATATATAAAATTTCACTTGAAGATGGAACAGAGCTTGGTACTTTAATTCAGTTTAATTCAAATCATTATATTGAAGTTTTTGGCTCTTGTTTTGAAACATGAGAACTCTTATGTAGCGATGGAATCATATTTTTTAAATAATTATATATATATATATATATATATATACACACACACACACAATTTGATTGAGTTTGAAACTTTGGAGAATAAAAAAAATTAGATAATTAGAAGGTTTTATTGAACTTTTTGGGAAATTATTAGGTAATAAAATAATTTTTAAAAAAATTTTTCTTCATCATGGAATTAAAATATACATGTGCATACAGAAACACACTCACATATATATATATATATATATATATATATATACACAGACACAGACACACACACACACACACACACACATCTACACATGCAATTTGAATGAAATGAAAAGGAAATTTGAATCACAGGGCTAATTTCCCCTTTCTGTTTGGCAACAACCCTTGGATAACTGAAAAAGAGTACAAGCGGCAAATGCATGGCACTTTGAAGTTTTAATTTTTATGATTTTTTTGTACATATTTTCTAATATTTTAAACGAACAAACAATTTAGATTTAAAGTTTGTTTATCTTGACATCAACAATGCAAAGGTACCAACAAACTTGCGTATAAAATAAGTCAATAAAAACTTTATTTATTAATTGAAGAAGTGTTGAATCATCAGCTTGGAAAGATCTGGCTTCATCAATAACCAAAAAAAAAAAAAGCAATCAAGTTGAAAACCAAAACAATTATTTTTATGACAATGAACTTATTTTTTTTAGGCTTTTGGATTTTTTTATTTTTCATGTGGCTTTCTAAAAAAAGTGTTTCATATCAGCAGAAAAGAATGCTGAAAAAGTTCATAGCCGATCAAGTAGAATGACCTTGAACCATAGAAATGCATGTACATTCCAATTTTTAACAGATTCGGCATGTAAGTAACAAATGGTGGGGGAAGGGGCTTAAAAAAATTTTTTTAAGGAAATTTTCCAACTACTTCAGTGTTTAAGAGTAAGACCACCTCGTTTCTTGCAAATTGAGAAAAATTACAACCCCTTCCTACTGATTATCAACACCCCTCCTTATAACAGGCAGCTCAGAATGGGTTTCTGAAGTTTCTTTAATAATAATAATGATAATAGTAATTTACTAAGAAGCATACCTTAGATGTGGTACAAGGCCAAAGGCATGGGGCACCTAATAAGAATCAAACTCACTATTCACCGATGTAATTGATCTAGCGAAACAAGCTTGTTAACCATTTCACATTGAAATGCCCTCCAAAAGATTTTCTAAGCATGGCTTAGATGTACCACAAAGGCAAAATGTGTGGAACACCCAAAGAGAAACAAACTCACTCTACTCAGTCATAATTGATCTGGCAAGACAAGCTTGCTAACCATTATTACATCATGTTGAAGTGCCCTAATAATAAATATTGGGGGGGGGGTCAATGAAATACTGATTTATTTTTTTTTCTTTTAAGAAATAAGTTGTCAGCCCCACCCTCGGAAAACTTTTTATTCCCTTCTCTAGCTATTCTCAGACCAGAAAAGTACAGTTTTTAATTGTAACATTTTATTTTTATTTAATTCAACCTCCTAAAGTGTGTAATAATTATAATTCAAAGGGACTATTTTTTTTATGTATTTATTTTATCATTTATCAAAGATATGACCTCAAGAAAGCTAGTTTCGACTTGACTGAAAGCAGTTATCAAAAACTTCAATTAAAGATACAGTGTAAATAGATAAGAGATAGGAAGGAGGGCAGGGTACAGTAACACTTGTTTTTAGTGACTCAGTACTTACAAATACACATACCAAATGAAACAGAGTAAGTACTACTTAGCAAAATAAAATAAACATTCAAGAAGAAATATAATAGAATGGAACTTTACATATCCTTTAAGTTATCAGATATTTTATTTTATAGCTTCCCCGTTCTATCGTGAAATTTAACATTGTTTATCAGTCCCTGAAAGACCGTGAATAAGTTTTAAAAAAAAAAAAAAAAAAAAAAAGGTGGTTTTAAAAAAAATTAAATTTATTGGAAACGTCTGAAAAGTCTAACTCTAAACCAATCAATCGGTTGGGGTGGGGTCCGGTTCATAGTAATAACTTCTTCACAATTAGAAAAAAAAGGAAAAAAAAAAAAAGGAAAAAGGACATCAATCAACACTCAATATGCAGTTATCAATTATGTAAGCATAGTTTCAAACTTGACATTTTTAAATAAAAACAAAGTGAAGATAACTCTGTAAGGCTGTATGAAAATGACTCCTCCTTAAAATGAAAAGAAATCATTTTTCAATTTTGAGAAATGTGGGTAGAGAAAAAGATTTTTAAATGAATGCTACTCAACAAAACTTTTCCCCTATTTTTACAATGGGACCAGTTTTCTTCAATAGTACTGAGTGTTAACATTTCTATATTTTATGGTTTCTATCCATTGCCTACACCAGAGGTCTCAAACATGTAGACTTTTTGTGGCATACAGGGAAACATTTTCCTGATCAATGTTTTCCTCAAATTTTAATAAATGTTTCTAGTCCCTTCCATACTTTGCAGTAATCGTATTGAACTTGACCTCTCCACCAAGTGCAAACAGGCAGTCAATTTTAAGGTCAGTGGGGTCAGTTCAACAGGGAAGAGAAGAAAACTCAATCTCAAAGGTCAACAAAAATTTGTTGAATATTTTCATGTTATTTTATGTAATCTTAACATTAATTCATGACACTTTTTTCATTATGTTAGTTTTCATATAAAAATATATTTGTTGTAAAAAATGTAAACCAGAC